CTTTGATACCATTTCATCTCCGATCAACCTCATCAGTTCTTTGGACACACCTATCTCATCTTCGTTCCAACTCATCTCAACTCTCATCTTCTCTCCAATGCTGCTTTTGATTCACCTCATCAAATCTTCAATCACTTCCTCGATTTCCCCACGTCATTGAGCAGATCCATGAGGGTTATGATTTATTTTGGTTTCAAATCTTACCAGAGCAATTGAAGAGATGTTGAGATGACTTTTGTGATTTGAAATCACATGAATCTGGTGATGTATTACATGAGATAAGCCAGCATTGTAGGAAGATGAAATGATGGTAAACATGATCTCAACAATACACAATGTGTGATGAGACTATAACAAGAGACTTGTGCGAGACGAAGTGACCAAGTGACAATCAAGCATGCTTTTGACCAACAAAGCAGTGATTATCTCTTGAGGAGAGTGCATTGCATGATCTTGATTCTCTGAGCACTGGGTTTTGGTTGTCTCACCAAAACCGTTGTTGCACCATTTCCTCTTGAATCGATTTTGTGATGGTAGTTCTGAGCTACCAAACGATTATTTTTAAAAACCACCCATTACCTCTCAACTCACGATTAATTGTGAGTTGAGACTTTTACGGTAGTTTCAGGTCCATTAATGCAGTACGCTTTTACTGTAGTATGTGATAATCTCGGGCAACCAAACGGGCCCTAAAAGAAAAAAACACTCTCGATAATTTGCTAACGCTTTTAAAATCAATCACTCAGAGACTTCTAATTCTTAAAACAACGATTTGTTTCTTTCTTTCTAGATGAATCAAAAAAAAGAAAAAAAACTTCCCCCCCCTCGAACGAACAAACGCGAACACCCCCCCCTTTTACTTCATTTCCTTGATCCCACCTCTTTACTTCGATCGAGCTCAACCCTGCTCAAATCTCGTCAAGCCTTTCTCATTCGATTTTCAATTAAGTTCACATTTAATTCAAGTGAGTATCTCATTCTTCTTGCTCATCCTTTTTCTTATCACTAACTATCTCTTGATTCCTTCCTTTCCACGCCTGAGTACTGCTTCTATCTTGATCACCTCACTTCCACTTACTCCCCACCTCGTCTTGATCTTCACACCATTGATTTAAAATGTAAGTTCAGTTTCTCTTCTCTTCTTCTACTATCTCATCCTTGAATCATCACTTTGCTTAAATCTCCATTTCAATTTCAATTAGGACCCTTGTTTGACTTTCAACTTCAACCACTCTAGAACACCATCTATCCACCTCGATCTTGAGTGTACTAATTTCCATCTCCACTATACCAACTTAATTTTGATCTCAACTTGTTTCAACATCAATTACTAAATCACGCAATCTTCCTAATTTAGATTTTCTTGGCTGTGAATATCTCGTAAGTTTGTTCCTTCATTTATTCTTCTTGATTTGAATTGATCTGATTCTTTTAGATCCCCTCAATCGTCCTTCTAGGTACCCATCAATTTCGATTTCGCTGCCATCTCTAATCCCTCTCAATCTCGATCTTCATTTCTATCTCTCTCTCACAAATTCGACTTTAACCTTGTACTGTAAGTTATTCTCTCAATCTTGTTTCTTCTTTTAGAGTTTTACTGACGCTTATCTATTTTGATTTATATATTTTCTATCTCGAACACACTTTCTAGAAATTGATCGATCGATCTGCATCTCCCAGCTGTATCCTCCCCTTTTATCTTGATCTTCTCGGTCCACTCGTGGTTCAGTTAGCGGTACGTGCTTTTTTTTATATATATTACTTTTGTTTTCTGTTATAAAATACTGATACTAATTGCTTCTTGTCACCTCCTCGTGCTCGACTGCTTCAGTATTCCCCTATTCAATGTTTAGCTTTGTTTTATTCTTCTCACCTCCTTTGTCCATCTTAAAACTCTTCTCCACTTTCCCTCGATTCTGAATGCGTGATAGTACTGGGGTACTTTTCTTTATTTTAATATGATTGTTTATGCTATTATGTTATTTTACTGTCCACTTTCTCAATTTATCTCGACTAACTTTATGATCAACTCCACCTAGTAATTTATGTAGTATGTAGTTATTATTTAACCACCTATATAAAATTTGTGATCTTTCTAAATGAATATACAACTTTATATTTGAATGTGACCATGATAATTAGAGTCATCCATGTGAGAAAAAAGTATGCCTTGAGTTGTATAAAAAAGAGAGCAAAAAAAGATGGATTTTGCTCTCCACAACGGATCCTTGATGTGCACTGATTTCTGGAAAATGATATAGAATATGTAATTGAGGAAAAATCTAGTGTTAAGAGTACAGAGAGATGACACATGTCATTTCCGCTTTGCCAACGGCCAAAGTGTTTTCATATTCCAAGACTTGTAGCGTACCCTGAGCTCTTCTGTGATAAATTTCTTAGTTTTGGGACATACCAAAGCTCCGCAATTTTGAAGATGAGATTGAGGATATCAGCTGGGTGAAACGTGCCAACAACTGAGGAGGAAGAAATAATGAGCTTGACTTACGGAGCAGCCTGAATTCCGTTGCCTCCTGCCAATAATTGTTGTTTGAGTGTGCCATTGTGTGCCATCCAAAGTAATATTGATTGTTTTCCGAAAGGTTGGGGTGGGGAGATATGAGACATCGGGTAGATGCTTGCGTTTGAAATGTTTTAATATGGTGAATGCAAATTGATTCACAGCTATTCACAGTGTAGAAGGTTTCTGACCATGGACAAAACTCAAAAATTGCACTATTGGTGGATTTTGTTGAGTTTTGTAAGCAAAGTGCCTTTGGGATTAAATGTAATGATTGATTGGTATATCATAGGTATTGTTGATTGCACACTTCGCTTCCAATTTCGTCCTTCCGAGAGTATAGTATTGGAGTATAAAGGGATAAGCTTGTTCTTTTTGTTCAGCAGTCAATGGTATAGACGGATTCGTAAGCTCAAAGTACTGGAGAACACGCTGCAAGGTTCGCAAAGGAGCGTGAATGTGGTGTTTGTTAAGAAGACTGTCTATCATTGTAGCCTGTGATAGATGCTCTTTGCAGTACCTGGTAAGGATGGGCTCAAGTACCTCATCACAAACATCATTGATGTGTGTCATGATTTGATGTCTTTTTGAGAGAACAGATGATTCCGAGTGGGTGGTGAGTTTAGATTCAGGAGCTTGAGTGTAGAGAGATTGGCAGTGCAATTGTAGGTAGAGTTCAAAATAAATATGGTTGTTGATGTGACGGAAAGATCAAAAATCAAGTTTTGAGAGTCGAAATTCAAAACTGAAAATTGAAAATTGAAAATTAAAAACAGGTGGCGGGGCCTCCTGTCTTGGCTTCTGTACTTACCTGTTTACCAAATGTTCCCAAAAAACGGAGTGTTATGCAATTTTACATATACACACACAATGAGAAAGTTTCTCACCGTAAGAGTCGCATTAAATTATTAATGCAACTTTTTTTCACCAAAGTGGGTGTACTGTATCAAAACATTGTGATTATAAACAGGCATACAGAATTGCCCCTATTTTGGCAAATTGGGAACATTTTGTTCTTGCATATACATCCTATGATATCTGACTCCGAGTCAATAAATTTGCAAGATTTGAAATGTAAGAACTTACTTTCAAAGCAAATATAGTGACATTAGAAGAGAATATCAGTTATACAAGTCCAAGAAAGGCAAGAAAGTAATCCTTTCAAAGCATCTCAGCACCTAACAAATCAAAATCTTAATCTGGTGACTTTGTGTGGGCACCAAATGTCATAGTGCTTGTAGTGCAATATTTTTGTGCCTGAACTATGATGTTGCCTTATAATCTTGTTGTAGGAATAAATTGGGAAAGCCCCTTTTCTATAACATCTCTTGTTTACCAAACTCAGGAGTTTAGGAAATTTTCTGGAATTTTGTGAATAAAAATAGGCTGTTGCTATTTGCTGCACCAACACAAACCATATAGGCACACAAAAAACTGCACCTACATACATGTTTCTCATGCTTTTACGCCTACATTGCGCATGTAGGTGCAGAAATAATCGAGGATACACCTACATCCTCTGTAGGCGTACTGAAATGACACCTACATTTGAAATTCTGAATGTAGGCGTCAGTTCAGGTCAGTTACCTATGCCTACATTCAAAATCTGACATGTAGGCCTAGCTTTCTTACACCTACATTTAAAATTTCTAACGTAGGTGTAGTGTTCATATGCCTACAGAGATGAAATCAGAATATTGGAGAATGGGCTTCCTGTCCTCCAATATCCTCTTTGCATCTTGAAATGGGCTTCCTGTCCTCCAATATCCTCATTGCAGCTTGAAATTGTTTTCCTGTCCTCCAATATCCTCATTACAGCTCAAAATGGTTGTCCTGTCCTCCAATATCCTTATTTCATCTCTGTAGGCATATGACCACTACACCTACATTTGCAATTTGAAATGTAGGTGTAAGAAAGCCAGGTCTACAGGTCACATTTCAAATGTAGGTGTAGGGAACTGACGCCTACATTCAGAATTTCAAATGTAGGCGCATCTACAGAGGATGTAGGTGTATCCTCAATTATTTCTGCGCCTATATCCTCAATGTAGGCGTAAAAGCGTGGGAAAAATCCATGTAGGCATAGGAAAACCCTACGCCTATGTATGTACATGGAGCGCGTTGGTGCGGCAAATAGCAAGGGCCTGGAAATAATTTTCTACAGTTGTTCCCAGATATCTTGGAAATTTTCCAAATTTCTGAAAAACTAAAGTGGCCAACCAGGTCTGTGCGCTCTGTAAGTAGCAAAGAGAGGATGTCAGACTCTACATATGACATGGAGTTTGATTTAGCTTGGCTTTGGACAACTTTCTCAAGCAGAACTTTTGATATGGGATTCAATATTGACTTCTTTCCCTCATAGGGGACCCCGTTTTCCTAACTGTTTATTGCGCTTTCCTCCCCATGCAATTCAACTAGCCTCAACCATCAGATACCAGCTTCCAACCGCAAGAAATTCAGCAAAATCACCCAGTTTATGGTCATGAATCCATTGTTTCCTTTACACCCTCTCACACCCCAAGCGACAAATAGTGCAGGCTTGTTGAACAGCAACAAGTCTGCACAGTTTCCACCAAGACACATTGAAGGCCAATGTGCTCACCAATGGTGAGTATTTTTCCGTCTTTGTCCCTATGACTCTGGTTACTTCTTACTGACTAAATTGAATGATCAGGGAGAGTCCCCAAAACCTGGGCCATATGGTCTTTTATCATCAGGCCAGCCGGTGCAAATACAAGAGAATTTGTGGGTTCCCTCCAGCCCCTCCTAATATTACAAACACGATTGGACAACCTTACTTTAGTCATAGACCTGGATGAACTTGAACACATCCGGACGTATGCCACCATGAACAAATACATGGCTTTTGCGGGTGTCCGTGGCCCCAAGATTGACACAGCTGTGAAGTTACTATCAGAACATGATATAGAACAATTTTATGCATTTCTTTACCCTGAATAGACCGGCTTGAAGGACCTTATCGAATTGGGCATCACACGTGGGACTGCCATGAGGCTCATGAACTCGGCACACTGATTTTATTGACACCTGATTAACGATGAAATCAATAATCTGAAAGAATGTTTCACTTCTAGCATGGAGCTGTAGGCATCAATGGGTGCATCCGATTTAGGCCACGTTCACTTACTCAAATCAAATAGTCCTTGTTTTAGCTCAGAGCGTTATCAAACGCGAATCCAAAGAAATGATGTCCTCTGGATTATTTGTAATGCACTTTTGAAAAACTTGTGTTATACATACATACATGATTGTCTTGTTTCTTGATATTGCCCCCTTTTTCTTGTTTGTCTTCTTGCTGACCAATCAATTAGTTTCTTGTCTCTTTGCTACAATGCTGGTTGTTATCTTGTCGTTTGTCTTACCCACTGCAACTCTGCTCCATATGTTAGAGTGAAAATGTTTATATATATACACGCAACACAATTGAAAACAAATGGGCATCTTCTATAACTCTTGCCAAAGAAGTGTTATAGAAAGTTTCAAATTTCTATAACACCTTTTGGGTTAATCTTTGCCAAATATTTGCAAAGTTGAATAAGTCAACTTGTGAAATATTAATGTTGGGGCATTTGTAATGAGTCAATCTGGTGCAGAACGCCAATTCAATATCAATTAATGATATTATTTGGTTTATATGATTTTAAATCTTGTAAAGTACGAAAATGCCTACTCAAAGATTGAATTTTTTGTTTATATGCAATTTCATCTCAGTACAAAATGACCATGAGGAAATTTGACCGCAAGGTTGAATTCTCCCTTCTTCGATCAAGTTGAAACTCCCAAATATGACTCACAAAAGTTGCATATCTTGAAAGAGTCCATGTTGAAAATCACAAGACCAACTTAAAGTTATTCCATTTCTTTATCAAAATTAACCAAACAATTCATTTATGATTATCCAAGATAAAATATAGATTGATTCCACCAAATATAATTTTTGTGATGTTTTTTTATGTTAATCAAAAATCAAAGAAAACATTTTAACTGAAACCAAATCTGTATCCGCCATTTTACAATGACAAATTCTTTATAATTTTTAAAAATAAACAGATTTTATAAAAATGGAAAAAGATAGAGGTTTAAATATTTGAAATCAAAGGATCACACATGTATAAAATACTTATCTTAAAAGTTAATTTTCAATTTAACAAGGGAAACAAATGGGGTTTTCATTTAATAAAAGGACTAGCCCTAATCAGCGGCGGGAGCCGCATGAATGAATCATGTTTGCTAATTCAGCAGATTGTCACCATTCTCTTATGAGCATTTATTTGATCCACCACCCACCCTGGGACCTTTCCTTATATAATAATATGTATAAGGAAAACCGTTTTACTTACAAAACCAAAAAGACACCCTACATAATTGGAATTCACATAATTGATAAACTCTTCCAAACTTCACAAAAAAAGCCCAATGATCATACATAGAAATCAAGCTGTTTTTTTGAATCATCTCCAACACTCAGGTCTTCTTCTTAAAGCAGCACAAACCTTATCTTTACTCATACCATCACATCAATCCCAAACTCTATGTTCATAATTTTGTAATCCTTGATTTTCTTGTCATCAAAACAGACTTCACAAACTTTAATAATAATATTACATTTCCTTTCACCTTGATTATTTGAGCTACTTCCTGGAGAGAAAGAATTCAATAGCATTAAATGATCTTCTCCAACAGATCTCACAAATGTTTAAGTTTTATTTTATCGTATTAATCCAACTATTTTCAACATCAAAATTTGACTGATGACCTCCATCTAAAGTTAAAGAAGCAAATCCCATCCTGTTTAAAATAGGTCTCTTCAAAATTAAATTACAACAAACATGATTTTTGACTTTTCTCTTCTTTTATGAATCGATATACTTATTGAATTAATTGAATGAGTCCAGATTGTGAATGGTCCAAATAATTTGGGTGATAAGTTTGATTCTGTGAACTTTCTTGTTCTTCTTTGGTGGTAGTACTGGGTTCTAAATCCCATTGGCTAGAAATCAAACAAAACAACAAAACAAACAAAACAAAAATTTGCAATTAATGGTTCAAATATCTTCATCCATTTCAAAAATTGAGGAAATAGAATTCATTTTTCAGAACTTACTTTGAAAAATATGATTCAAGTTCTAGTGAAAGAACTCTGATTGAACCTATAGTCACACTTTCACATATTTTTAAACAACAATCAAATCTCTCAATAAGTTGTTCAAAAATTGATTCAGAACTTTTACTTGAACCAATTTCTTTGACTATTTTATTCATTCTCCAGAAACTTCTAGATTTTTTTACTTCAATTTCATCAAATAATTAAACATAAAACGAAGCCAAAAAAGAATCAACATCAAAATCAATTAAATTTGAGTTCGATGAATGTAAGAAAGAATGACTTACAAAACCATCATTCCGATGTTTAAATACACTTGACACTTCACAACTAACAAAAACCTTAACTTATTTCAAAACTGCAACTTGACCAATCCCCATGTTACTTTCATTTCCTTCAACTTGTACTGATACTGAAGATCTGATTTATCCAATCGATCCGTATGATTCAGGCACATTCAAAACTCCCAAATATTTCAAATTATAGTCTTGAATTAATTTTGAATTGGTCGAAACCCTCTGTCTTTAATAGATATATCAAATTCAATTGATCTCTAAATCACATGCGCTAAGATTGGTTTAATTTCTAATATATATGGTATATCTTGTTTTGATTTCTTTTTGATCATTTCAATTAAGAAACTTGAAGACCCAGTCTGAGAGGAAAAAAACTCCTGAATTCAGTTTAACTCTTCTTGTTGTGGTAGATTTGTGTTGTTGAACTTACCATTGCATCTAAATGGTTATATCCATTGATATTCATTAGGTTTTGGGCTTTTTGTACAAAACTTTCGTGTTCTTTTATTCAATCAAGTATCTGATCAAAGTACTGTTCGGGCTATCCAAAACAACCGAACTGAGCAATGAGTTAAGTGAATGAAACCTAGAACCAATTCAAAAGGTTGACATTTACAATTACCTTCTCTAATCAATTGGTCGATCTTTGACTATCGAGATGATACCTAAACCTAAGTTCAATGGGTTTCACAATAGCTTTGATTGCGATAAAATTAGGAAATGGACCCAAAAATTGTATTGAAAATTCATTCACTGTTTGTACTACATACTCGATTGACAGATGCACCTCGCGACTTGAAAGAGGTTTCAGTAGAAGATTCAGGGTCAGTTGTTTCAACTGGGATTTTGGATTTGGCTGGGTTCATGTGATTTTGATGGACCGGACTGAACCATAGGTAATTGTGAAGCTGAATGTAGTCCAGGACTTGCTGGTCGTGATGATCGGTGAAAGTCTTGAGCATTAGGTGAAGAGCTGACTGCACTTCTCCAAAGATCTTCTCGACTTTTGACCTCAGATAGTTCAAATAACAGCAATACCCTGAACAGAAGACGTATAAGCTCCAGTTGGATAGTCATGAGTAAGATTTTCAAGACCATGAGGTCGATTAGGAATATAACCTATAGAAGTATGAGCCCGGGCGACTTCGTGTTCTTGTTTAGCTGCCCTGCATTTTGATCGTTTGGTTTTTCACCCTTGAACTAAATGTACTACAATCGGTTGTATTTGAGGTAGATGCTGCGTCAAGAGAATTTCACAAATCGTCTGAAACCAAAATTTAAATCACTGATAGTGATACAAAACTAAAAGATGATGCAATCATCAGACCAATGCCCGAGAAGACTAAATAGGACTTTAGGGAGCAGATGGAGATGATTCTGACTAACTCCATATCGATATCTTCCTTGGAGAATGCTAGACTTGCAGCATTAAACTCATTCCCTAATCTCATGTGAATATCAGATGCACCACTTTTATCATTCCTACCATGCAACCGATCAGTGAGACTTTCAAGTAGCTGCTTAGTTGCGATCAATAATCAAGTAACAGTGGATTCCATATGAAAAGAGGTGAGTGGATTGATAGCAGGCTGTGAAAAAGCTTTCGAGGAAACAAAAATATTCAGTTGATTGTTTGATTTGTGGTCAAGAAAAGATAGAATGATGTACGCTTGTCTACTTTTACTACCACTGGCGAAATAACCAGAATTAGCTGGAGGAGAGACAGTGGTGGATTGTCATTCCCCGTGAGAGACCGATTGATTGAAAGCTGTGGTAACAGATGAAGATCCATTACGTCTTGAATGTAAATTCAGATTGGATGGTGAAGTCATTTGAAAGGGAATTCGATTGGAACAGATTTATCGAAGGATGGTCTGATCTTTGTGTGTTGGTAGGGGTTGAGATGACCTGTTACCTTGAGAGTTAAATGAATTGTAGTGTTTTTGCTGAGAGTGGTCTGTGCTTGGTATATCTTCAATGACAAGAAGTTTGAAGGTAAACAAACTGCTGAGCAAGGTTACAAATTCAGAAAATACAGAAAATTCAACTTCAAATTCCTCAATTGATTTAATTGATTTGAAAGTACTTTGCCTGGAAGTGATCTTGTACGTCTTCTAGTTGATTTGATGAATGTCTCTAATTGAATTCTGGAATGGTTTGGGGATCTGGTTGATTTCGAGAAGAATGAGATCGAAGGAAGTTCATTGGTGCTTAAGTTTCAAGTTGAAGGTGATTTGTTTAAATGGATTGGTCTTTGTTGGTTCGGATTTTGAAAGATGTATAATTTCATCTGGTTCTTTATCTTGTAAATACGTAAATAAGTACTTTGATTGGGTGGTCTGATTTGCGGCAAGTGAGAGGATAGTGTGAAGATTGGTAGTTTGTTAGGTGGTGAAGAATCAATTTGATGAAAGGAATGAGGAAACAATGGGTGAGGCGTGTGGAAATCAGGTTAAATCTGTTGAACGTGTAAACCTGGAAATTGGTAGTAGGGATTGGGAGTTTAATCAGGTTTTGCCGGCGAACACGGTTTACCTTTAACTTGAATGATAACACATGTATAAAATCCCTAAAATCATCTGTGTTCTACTATTCTAAATAATATTCTTCATGTAACTAATGTTTGGGGAAATAAAAAGTTTACATAAACATCGATCCCTAATGAACGCACGAGTTGAGTCGAAAAATCATCATCTATCCCAGTTGCTTACCTGGCCTTCTGGTATTTGGGGAACTGTTGATTGTAGCAGTCCCAATAATATTGGGTCACATACCCACTAGAAAATATCAGGGGCTGCATCAACGGTCTTGTCATGACTCTGCCGGCTACTCCCATAAGATAAGCACCTTTATTGTGTTCATACCGCCAGCGTTGTTTGTGTTGCAATTTCTTCTTCATGCAGTTGAAAGCCTTTTCAATTGGATTTAGGTCTGGGGAATAAGCAGGTAAGTAAATTAATAAGAGTTCCTTATCTTGACATAACTGGTCTATCTCCCCGCCGTGGTGGATCTTGGCGTTGTTCAAAATGAGCACCAACTTGGGAGCAGGGTATGGATTCATCACCGGCAGCTGGACCAGCACACAAAGATGACATTAGAATCATAACTGGATTGTTTACAACAGCAGATTAAGAACTCACCAGCTTCCAAGCTGGGAAAAGCTCCACATGTACTCGTTCCACTGGGCCTTTAACCACAGTGCCTGCAATCATCCCTTGCTCACAGACCACAGTAAGAATTGTGTAGTGGTCGTTTTCTTGGTACCAAGTGGCACGGACAGTTTGAGTGCCTGTAGGGGCCCAGCTCTTCTTCCTGGTGGCATCACGTCCCACCACGCCAGATTTGTCTACATCACAATGTGAGAAAATGAAAGAAGTCAGAAGAAGTTGAAGGATCAGGTCAGAGCAAGTGAAAGTCAACCTCACCGATGAAGACCAAGTATTCCCCTGGGATGTTTGCAATACGACGTACAAACTTAACCCGCAATAAGGATAACCCGAGTCTTGACTTGAGTGCGCGGGAAATCGTGGATCTACTGATATCCAGGCCGGTGATTTGATGGAGGCGTTTTTGAATCTCATCAAATACAAATGAGGCGAGTGAGTTATGATGTCTTTCAATATGAGCAGATGATCATCCCTTAGAGCGTGAGGTTGCCCTCTTTGTCCGTAAGTCGCCGGATCGGAGATAACCCGGTTGGTCCAAATGTATAATGCCTTCCATCTGGCAAATGAATTGTAAGAGATTTTTGTCTTAAGCGTTTGGTTGATATGGGCGTGTGAGTGCCCTGAAAAAGGCATGTTTCAAGGGATTTGGATGGTGAAATTGAGCTGTGAAATTGAGCTGATGGATGGGACGAGTAGGAAAGAAGACCTGGGTGGGGTATACTCGAGGAAATTGGGGTGGCCATCGTCGTGTTCCAGACTTGTCAAAAGAACAACAGCTGAACTAGGATGAGAGGAAGGAATTGACAGACCAACCTCGACTAGAAATTTGGCATCTCTCCCTACATGTCACACTACTGGACAGCGCACGGACCCGGCCGGCCACTCGAGTTTTCCAGAAATTTGGAAAATTTCCAAGAAATCTGGGAACGACTGTACATAAACTCGACGGTAAATTTGTACAGTCGATCCTAGAATGGTTGGAAAAAATGAAAAACTTGACTGGAAGCACAGCTCCGTGCGCGCAGCTGTAGGGTGACGTTTCAAGAGAGGAGGTGTCAGTTTGAGTCGAGGTCGAGTTGAGGTTGGGGTCCGTGCTGAGCATTAGTGCACAGAGGAGGTGTGTCAAAGGAATCATTCACTCATCCTTCTTTTGACAGCTCTGGAACACGACGATGGCCACCGCTATTTTGGCGACCCCCCCCTTTTGATGGCTCTTTCTTATTCTCCCAGCCATCCATCCGCCGTTTCTCTGCCCGTTTTCATAATCGCTAACCGTCAAATCATGCCGTTTCGACATTATTCTGAGGACCTCAAGTCTGTAGCCATCCGAATGGCTATCGAAGGCCACAGTCATACCTACATCAACCAAACTCTTGGAACCAAGATCTCATACAATTCATTTGCAAGATGGAAGGCTTTATTTATCCGCACCAATCGAGTTATTGCAGATCCGGCCACATACGGAGCACGAGGCCAACCACACGCTCTATCTGACGATCACCTCTTGCTCTTGAAAGACATAATTACCCATGAGCCTTCTTTATACCTCGATGAGATTCAAAGTCGCCTCCTTCAGATCACCGGCCTCGATATTTCAAGGTCAACAATTTCTCACACACTCAAGACCCGACTCGGTTTATCCTTGCTTGTCACACGAGGAGTTCACCAGAAACAATCCCTGGCGGAGCGTGTAAAGTTTGTTAGGCGAATTGCCAATATCCCGGGGGAATATTTGGTTTTTATCGGTGGGTGTTCACCGACTTTTGAAACACTCACTGTCCTTACCTTTACTAACTGACCTTGTTTATGAATATACATGTGTAGACAAATCCGGCGTGGTTGGACGAGATGCTACAAGAAAAAAAAGCTGGGCACCAACGGGTACTCGCACAGTCCGTGCCACTCGCTACCAGGAGAATGATCACTGGACCATTCTGCCTGCTGTTTGCAAGCAAGGGATGATCGCGGGGACTGTAGTGAAAGGGCCGGTTGAGCGTGTTCACGTAGAACTTTTCCTAGCTCGTAAACTGGTATGTCTCGGCATCCTGATTTGTTAGATTGAATTATGATACTGATGACATTATAATCTGTTTCATCAGCTTCCCGTTATGAATCCATACCCTGCGCCAAAGTCGGTTCTGATTTTAGACAATGCAAAGATTCATCATGGTGGGAAGATTGAAGAATTATGTAGAGAGAAAGGCATTTTGTTAATTTACTTGCCTGTGTACTCACCCGACTTGAATCCGATTGAGAAAGCTTTCAATTGTATGAAAAAGCGACTACAACGCGAGCAACGATGGCGTTACGAGAATGATAAATGTAGGTATATACTTGGTGTTGCTGGCAGAGTGATGACAAGACCTCTTATGCAGCCACTGATTGTATCCAGCGGTTATGTAACCCAGTTTTATTGGGATCGATATAATCAACCATTTCCACCTTAGCCTTGTAAGTAATCCACATTAATATTATCTCGTCATTTCAAATGAAATATATTTCAAGATTTAATAATCTTTTTTTGGGTATACAACAGGTGCTTAATTGGAGCGGGATTAATATCAATAATCATTGATGATCTCTTGAATCATGACATTTTGCAAGATGTTTTGATAAACATCTTCCACTCAATCATTTTTTTTCCACTTTACGTCGTTAACGTTGTTAGTTATCGTTTGGTTTCCTTTTCAAAAAGAAGTCAAGAAAAAAAAATCATTGTTATCGTGTTATTTTTTTGAAATCCTCAAGTAAAGAAAAAAATTGTTAACTTGTTTACGTTGTTTTTCAACGGCATCCATGAGATGCTTTTGATTTGATATGATTTGTCAAGTCATGAATTTTTTTTGGTCTTTGATTCATTAGACCAAAATTAAATAATGTTCTTCCTTTTTGTTTTATCTGTCTCGGTTCAGATCATAAAATTTGTGAATGATTTGATAGTAAGAAACATACTTTGATTGTTCTTTCTTATTAGATAATGTTGTCGCATGATCTAGATTGTGTTTTTCATTAAAATTGTTTTTGAAATTATGATCCACAAAGATCTTGGTCCATTAGTGTTTAAACCGCTTGTGTGCCATCAAAGTGTGAAAACGAAAACACATCTGGTCTGATGTTCTTTTCGCCGGGAAACATCTTGGCAATATGTCTTGATTAGATCTTTTATTTTATCTTGATCGCATCAAGAGATAAAATAAAAGATCTAATCGAGTTCTTGTAGTTTATTCTCCAACTTATATTTAATATAGTTCATAGGTGATTCCCGATCACCTATGAACAAAGCTCACTCACTTAGGTGTTGTCTCGCAGGGCACATATCGATCACCACGTTGTGATGTATGAACAATAGGACTTTAATTTCAATAACTTTGCGAAACACTTTTTTTGGGTTTAATAATAAAGGGACAGCAAAACACTTTTTTGGGGGTTTTATAAACGTAGAGCTACTACATGATAAACACTGATATGTGTGTTATAAATGGAGAGACAAACTACGAATCACTTTATTGGAAAGGGGAATCATAAATGGGAGGGAGACAAATAGCGTAAGAGTTATTTTTTAATCCTACGCATCCTATATTTGGGAAACCTTTTCATGTTTGAAGGATGTTCCAGTATCAGATAACAGATAAATTCTCTAATATTCATGTATTGAGAATGGTGCGAGGATATTTTCCAAGTTAAAATCGACATGAGTATCAATCAAAGCCTTTGATTGATCAATCAAAGTTGAAAGGTTCACACAAGTTGAATTAAAAGCACATGCTTGAATTGAAAGGTTCTCTGGGGTTATTGATCTCGTCTTCGATGAGGTGTTGATAAAAGCGACGGGCCGAATTCATAAGTCTCATTGCTGTACCACGTTTGATTCCCATATCCATGATGTCTTTCAAGCCGGTCTCTTCGGGATACAAAAACGCATTGAAACGCTCTATGTCGTTGTCTAACAGTAATTGAACTGCTTCGTTAACCTTGCCAACTCGTACTCCCGCAAAGGCCATGTAGTCATCCATTGTGGCATGGGTCCTGATGCGCTTGAGTTTGTATGGATCCACTACGATGTCATAGCCTTGGGCTTTGGAGATGGTTCCGGGTCTGATTGGTGAGAAGTCATTGATGCCATCGATCACAGGTTCAACAGGTTCAACGCTAGTGAGAGGTGTCTGTAAGGCCACCGGTTTTTTGAGGTCACTCCATTCAAAACCCTCAATGGCTGGCGGGATGTCGACAGTTACCGCTGGATCCTTAACCTGCAGTGTTCCAAAGAATATCCATCGTGAGTCAGTTAATCAGAGGCAAAGGCATATAATCTCTTCAATTTCACTTACCATTTCTTCTGCCCATATTCGTAAGAGTTGGAAATTCATGGGCATGACTTTCGTCACATCGTCATGTTTATAAACCCGCCATCCCTCAGCATTGTTATTGTTGGCGGTGCTATACTTTAACATTAGGGCTGCCAGGGCCTTGTCGGCCGGGTCCTCAGGCGTGGTATGAGCTAGATCGGATAACGAGGTGTTGACATTGTTGTTGATATTCTTTGCAAGTAATTGATGTTGGCCAATGGATAGACTCTATTAGCCATTAAAAATAGGTTAGCCTCATGATATGTTATCAATATGTATATCAATATACAACTTTACCTTTTCAGCCTCCAACTTCTTCTTGTTGGGATCCACCATCATTACATCGATTCCCGAGGTGCGTGTCGGATGAGTCGCAAGCGCACGGAAAAAGTTCTTCACATCTTCATCTGATTTGAGTTCCGCCTCGTGGCCTTTACTGTACACAGCGTGACTATGAATGTAGGCCAAGTAGATAACCGAGTTGGTTGAGTCGGCCGCTTTGAAGATGCCGGCAGCGTTTTTACCCATCTGGTCTGAGTACTCAAATAGAGTGGACTGCAAGTCTGAGAAGGATTCATTGTTGATATCGATTGGAAACTTGCGCGCTTTGAAAGTGTGAGTAAACATTTTTGGAGCTTGGTTTTTAGCTACATTAGGTCCTTTAGTCGGATCCACCCCTTGTTTTGAATGTACCACATATTTAAGCCACATCTCACGCTCCAAAGGTTCTGCGTTTGAAAACCACCAATTAATCAATATCAAACCCATTGAACATATTTTGATGACCTAACACTCACCATCGTTAGCACCATCAGTGAGAGGCTCCCAAGGCATGTTACCCCCGGGTGCGTCTTCGGATTCCGCAGGTGCAGGATCCATTTGATCGGACTCGTTGTCTGAAGACAGAGCTAAAGAGCTCTCGCGACTGGGTAAAACAATTTCGGACGTTTGAGATTGGTGAATGTTCAAATGGTTTCGAGATAATCCAAAGCTCGAGTTGTTGGAGGTTTCGGAAACATGGGTTTGTGAACCCCAAGAAGCAAGAGATGTATCATCCAGAGGGGTTCTTCTGACTTGCTGAAAGCGATTTGGAGGCGTTTGGACCAGCTGTGGTGAATCCAAGCTGGGTAAAGGATTTGTAAAGGAATTACCACGACTGACGCCGGAATTGAGGGCCTGATGAGGTTGGCTGTTTGGTCTAAGACCAGGATTCAATATCGCATCCGATTGATTGATTGGACTGAAGTTCGGATTCAAGATGTGACGATTGGGATTCATCGGAGTGATATTGGTATTAGCGCTTGGACGGGATTGATTAGTCGAATCTCCAATCATACTACAAGTCGGATTGAACTGCAATGAATCCATTGAATCTTCACGCCTAAGACCATGATTCATCGGAAGTCCGTTGCTTCTTGGTTGTGGAGACGGGCTAATCATCCCCAAGGTCATAGTTCCAGGGCCCATCGGGTTCGATAAATTAGGAGGTGTTGGCGGCATTCCCGGTAGCAGAGACCATTCACACCGACTGGCTTGATGATAGAACACTGTTTGAGTCGGATCATTTGGACTAGGCCTGACCAATCGAAGTAATCAGAATAAAAACCAAAAAACAATTGAAGGAATCAGAATAAAAATTAAAAGAAAGACGACAACCGAAAATAACTCACCACTTGTGTACACATTGGCCCTCGATATGCCTGGGCAATCGTGGCGCTTCGTTGTTGTTCAACGTGCCTGCGCTGTTGGGGGTGTGTGAAGCGTTTGGTGGGTTGTTCATCGTGTTTTTGGTGATTTTGCTGTTATTGAAGAGATTTGAAGCTGGTGGCTGATAGTCGAGGATGGAGGAATGGGACAAACAGGAAAACCGGATGAGATAGGTGAAAGGGTATGGCCATCGTCGAGAGATTAGATATCGACATCGAAGTAAGGATGAAAGGAATCGAAACTTCATCTTGAGAAAGTTGTCCAAACATTGGTTGATATCGAAGAGTCTGTTAAGGCCAGTATCCGACATCATCTCTGTGTAACTGCTCAGCGCACGGACCTGAGCCTCCAGTCGAGTTTTTCATTTTTTCCAACCATTCTAGGATCGACTGTATCATGGCGTACATAGTGTCATCATCATGACTTCTCTCGATCATTCTCAACAAACGGAACATCAAGAAGCCGTTGCATCAACTTCAGAACGAGCACCTTTATTAAACCATCAGCAAGAAGAACGCCCATCAAATCAATACAAACTATGTTCGATCCAACCACACGAACTTTCAACTTCTTTAATCTTACATTTAAATCATCAAACTGATTTCTTGACATCAGTCTCATTAAACGAAGTTGATTTTTCAGTCGAACCGTTCGGTTTAGATATCGGCTCAGAAAACTCTATTAGTTTTAGAAGGACTCGGTTGGTTTTATTAGATGTGATCAGAGGGTTTATTCTTTGTTTACGTATGTATTACCTTTTAACACTTTTCAAAATCATTTCCAGAAAACTGATGGTCATTCGATCTCAATCTTTTCTTCAAAGAGGTCATCGATACTGCCACTGAATATTTGGGTTCTGTATCATCTAAATACTCTCAATCATGGCACCAACATATCTTTTTTCCTTTACCTCATTCAACTTTTATTCTTCACCTCATCACTGTAAGTCGATCCACTTGAAGCTCATCCCTTTGGCTGCGATACATGATTGCCATCTGATTTTTCGATTTGCAATCTTTTTGAAGCTCGTCTGTACACCTGCTCTCCATTTTCTTCTGGGTTGTGGGGCGGTATTGGCCATCGAAACTAGACGAAGCTTAGGATGGAGTTCGATTCGATTGATTAGACGTAGTATTAAATTAGGTGTAGTCCTCTTGGTATGCAGAATTGCTCATTGAAAACTTAGTTTATATATCATTCGCTTATACTATGTATCCAATCAAAAAAATCAGATCTTGAACCAATTATTAATGTCTCAAAGAATCATTCAAAGCCGTGGAGATGGTGAATTGATCTTTCAGCTTCTATTCCTTCGATAACCTCAATCCGCTAACCACATCCATCGTTGTGATCAAAAATCTAATATAATATCATAATAGTACTCTTGATCATGTTGCCAATTTGGTCACTCGGTTTCAATTTAATCATCATCACTTTTTGTTTAATCGGTACCTATCAAATTCAAAACGCTTTCGTTAAATCTCTCTTAAAAAAGTCACAAATCCCCTGCCCATCACCAAATGAAAGCCCACCAAACTTGGATTCGATAAGTTCACAACTTGGATCTTGGCCATCTCATTTTAACCTTTCGATCGACGTTTTGATGATTTTAGTTGGATTAAGTCTTCCACTTTTAATTGGTTATATGTTACCTGGTTCGCCCGATGCTCCAGATCAAGATTGGTGGATTGAATATTTCCAAACTCGGTCTTGGTGGTTTTGGTTTCTTGTGACTCCTAGTTAGTTATAATCTTCTTCAAACAGATCTTATTGCTATATGAAAATGAAGAGTTGATTCTGATTTGGTCCCTTTTGATTATAGCTCCTCATATGTCTTCTAGTCCAAGATCTCATTTGATCTCTAGTTATGCACCAATCGGGTACGCTCCATTAAAGATTTTCAATAACCTTTCTTTCCTCAATTCACTTTGAACATTATTGATTGTGCTTTTTTATGATACCTGAACAGTTGGTTTCCTTATGTGATTTTGGGCGCTGTCTATGGACGTGATCTGATCCGAAAACGTCGTACCAAGTCATCCTATTTCGCTTACCATCTTGTAAGTCATCTTCATTCAACATCATTCCTAAATCAAAAAGCTCTTCAACGCTTACCAATTCTTTTAACAGTCACTCGCATCATACGCAGCAATAATCTTCATCTTAACACGTGTATTAGATATCGGAAACCATTCGATTCCACATTATGATTATCAACCAGGTTCCCCATTACTACCAACTCAAAGATTTAGATGGTTAAGAGGAAACTGGCAGATGTTAATTTATACTACTCAATTTCCACCTGATCTTGCTCATCTTTCGATTTCACTTGTAATTTTATTTTTCATCTTTAGTTTCTTTGATTTATTTCCTTTAAAATTATTAGAATCTAATCCGTTTTTACAGTTCGGTCGTTCTTCAATGATATTTTATTCAATTCAAGTTGAGCATTCTTCTTCTTCTTCTCTTCTTACCTCTTTCTTCAGGTTCAAACTAACTTTTGGTTTTGATTTCTTTTTTCTCGAATCATTAGTTACTTTCATTTCATTATATATTACCTTCTGTACTTTTGATTTTAGATTGGTCAAATCAATTAAATGTATTTTGGTGTACGATGATCGGTTTAAGTTGTTTACCTGTCTTTTGGTTAATTTGTGAAACTTGGATGATTTTTAAAGATCAACAAATTCCTCAATCAGTTAAGTCGGTTTCTTAATTCTTGTACAAACTTTTTCGAGGTTTTTTTACTCATTTGACCTCAAGTTTTTCTTTTTGTGTAGGTTTGGAGGTTTTTATGAAAACCCTGGCCTTCAGGGTGGTTTCTTTTTCTTTGGTTTCTGTTAATGATGATGTTTTTTTACCTCGTTTAATATTTTGTCATTTTTTCTAATGTAAAACATTTGGACCAATTTATACAATATGTTTCAGATGCATTTGGTTTATGTATGATTTGATAATCCTATTAGTTTTCTTTAATATATGAAGTTGTACATATGTTTTTTGATGTAATAGAATCTCAAGTTTGGTTAAAATGAAAATTAAATTTTTGAAATTCGAAAGTCGCGTGTTTATAAAGTGAACTTTGAAGTTATGGTGTTTGAACATGTAAATGTATGGAGTTAGAGAGACTTGAGTTTGATTTCCATTGAATCTTTTTCCAAATTGACCAACCAACACCACCATCACCACCACCACCACCACTATCAACAAGAACCAGAACAACAATCTCAACATGTTCGGTTCAACATCAAACACGTTAGTATTCTATATCTAACCAATCTAACTTGAACTTCAAGCTGAACCATATCTCAAAATTATCAAAATCAATTACATTCAGTGGCAGTTCACTTTTTGGTGGTTCAACAAGTTAAGTTCATAATCAAAATCAAAAGAAATACTCGAATCAAGTACTAAAGCTTTATGATTGATTATGTTTTTTTAGATTCACCAGGGGGTTTATTTAGTCCACAAGCCACATTACAACAACCAGTTTCTTCATTGTTTCCAACTTCTTCTTCATCATCATCTTCAACCACTCCAAGCACACCAAAACCATCAATCTTTGGAACCAACAATCAAACCAATTCAAATAATCCAACAACTGGAGGATTGTTTGGTACGAATTCGACGACCAATCAATCTAGTGCTACTACTAATCCTAATCCAACCACTGGAAGTTTGTTCGGATCTAATCCTTCTACTTCAGGTACTCAGAGTAGTACTGGTTTGTTTGGGAATACTTCAACTCCACAAGCTAGTACGGGTGGTTTGTTTGGTGGTTCAAGTACTACTACTCCTGCTGCTACTGCTACTCAACCTACAACAGGTGGATTGTTCGGAGCTTCTAATACTACTACTACTCAACCTACAACAGGAGGGCTTTTCGGAGCTTCGAATACTACTACCACTGCTACTCAACCTACAACAGGAGGACTATTTGGAGCTTCGAATACGGCTACTTCACAACCTACCAATACCGGAGGATTGTTCGGGTCTACTACTTCACAACCTACCAATACTGGAGGATTATTTGGAAGCACCAACACAAATACCTTAACTCCTCAACCTAGTAGTAGTAGTACTGGAGGATTATTTGGAAGCACCAACACAAATACCTTAACTCCTCAACCTAGTAGTAGTAGTTCGGGTCTACTACTTCACAACCTACCAATACTGGAGGATTATTTGGAAGCACCAACACAAATACCTTAACTCCTCAACCTAGTAGTAGTAGTACTGGAGGATTATTTGGAAGCACCAACACAAATACCTTAACTCCTCAACCTAGTAGTAGTAGTACTGGAGGAGGGTTATTCGGATCGACTAATAATCAATCTACCAATACTGCTCCGGGTACTGGGTTATTCGGATCATCTAGTAGTACTGGAACAGGAGGATTGTTTGGAACTAAATCGAACTCGAACCCTACAACAGGTGGATTGTTTGGGTCTACTAATCCTTCGATTCAGAATCCTCAATCTCAATCACTCTTTGGGAATCCTAATTCATCTTTATCTACTGGAAATGTTAATTCATCGTAAGCGTGTCTTTTTTCTCATCTGGTTTCTTGATTGAAAATTGTCAAAAGTTAAAATGTTTGGAGATTTTTTTTTTGGATTGATTACAATCGAATAGAAATTTAGGTGTTTCACAAGTTGGTACAATTAGTAGTAGTAGTAATAGTGGTAATGGAAATCATTTACTTCGAACGACTAGGTTTAATGATTTACCTGATGAATTTAAAAGACAATTAGAAATGTTAGAGTAAGTGTGTGTGTTTTTATTTCGACCGACTCAATTGAACGAAATTAAAAAAACTGATTTGAAAACAAATGGATTTTGATTGGATGAAATTGGTTGACTTTTAAGTGCAATGATTCAAAATCAATGTAGATTAGCAGATACGATTAAATTAACTGAATTAGGAAAAGAAATTAATGAAGGATCAAGTCAATTAAGACAAGTGAAAGCTGTAAGAATCTTTTGTTTTTCATCAAACTGACTGAATTTAGTTGTTGATTTCTTGGTTTTACAAAAAAAACCAAACTAAAAAAATGGCTTGATTTTGTTTTA